TCATCACGGTCAACTCTACTTTGAGGAGGTAGCTCTTCCCCAGTCACATTTTGAGTGCCTTCATACCTGAGAGGCTCATTTTCTGGCACTATATCTGACTGTGTTTCTCCGTTATTCATAAGGTTTTCAGTGACTAAATATTCACAAATAATTCATCATTCCTCCTTCCTATTCTGTCTTCATCTGGAAGCTCATCTGAAACCTGTCCACCATGGGTGACCCTGCTGGTATTTAAAATACCAGTAGAATAGCTTTCAGAATCAACAGCAACTCACAAGCTACCAAAGTATGACAAACTGTCATATTAGTAATATATAAACCCTTTCATTTGAATTTTTTTTCTACATGATATTTGAATTAATTTAGTAAAAGAGCTCTTATATGTTTGACATTTCAAGTATGTTCTTATGCTGTGTCTCAGATCAAATAATAATACAGTGAATGATATTGTCATCTTCCTTGTATTTCTTTTTATAAGGAAGCTTATCACATCAAACTCATAGAGGTTTTTTGTTTGCTTCTGTTAAGGTTTCGTTTTTCATCTATAATTACCTAGAATACTATATAAAACATTGCTTATTGCCTTTTAATAAAGGTTTCAATCCAAAACAATCAGGGATATTGAAGGACTTTGAAATAAGAAACTAAAATGTAAATTGTAGCATTATTTCAGAGCAACACTTTTTTTTAATGTTTTATTGTGAATTATGTGATAGTTTACATGGGAGAAGATTAATTTTACATTCATTTTATCGTATATCGTTTCATTGCCGTGGTTACAATCCCCTCCATGCCTCATCAACCAACCAAAGGGTATACACTATAACCCTGCACCCTGGTAGTCATCACACAGTCCCTCTCCCTCTCTGGATCTAAAGTCTCCAGCTGCTCCATTTCTCCACATCATCATCTCTGCCTCCGTCTCTGGCTTCACTGCTTCTCTGAATAGGGTCCCCCTCTCCGCTCTTCTCCATTGATGGTCCCAGGGACCTCTGCTCCTAAACTGAAATGTTTAATCACTCCCCTTGCTATAAAACATCTACATTTACATTTCCAACCCTCAGAATCAGTCCTTATAACAATTATTCACTATTGTATCATAAGAGACCTATCTGCATTTCATTTCATCTGCCCCGCCCAAACAGATTGGATACTATTCACTGGAGATTCTACCTTCCCCCACACCCTCTGGATCTAGGTTCCTTCTTGAAAGCTTGTAAGTCAGTCACTTCTTACCTTTGTAGACCCCTCCCCCCATTTTGGGTAGCCAATGTCCAAGTTGCCCATCCCTGCCTCCTCTGTGTGTGAAAGGGGTGGAAATGATCCTTGTTGTAAGGATTTGTTTCCTCTTATTGATCTACTGCATCCATAGGTTTAGGTCAAGTTCATCAAATTGTTTCTGATTACTCTTTTTTTTTTCCCCCTCTTCTTTCTTCTTCTGGTTGAGCTCCAGTCATTGAAGCCAGGTCAAGTGGGTATTATCTGCACGTATGGGTGTTCTTGTGCATATCAGAGCAACAAGTTTTTGAATAAGAATGAATTGGATTTATAAGTGTTTTAAAACATAGGAATAATTTTTCATCTGTAAAATCTTACATAAAATTCTTTCATTCACTTTAATTAACAAGGTTCACATTCACATGAACTTTCTCAATATAATAATTTTTCAAATTAGTTCTTTGAACCGTATTCATGAAGCCCATTGATCTCCGCTGCTGCACAGGTAGAAAAGTCATTTAGTTTGTCATGTTTCTGAGAAAAGTCCTTTTTATGAATGAACATTTACATTTATAACTAAAATTCAGGAATTTTAGTTGTTAAAAGCAAAAAATGAATCTAGAACTATATCACTAGCAGAAATTAAGAAAGTGGTCAACAAAATTTAAGCAAGTTATAGCATTAAGAAGCAGGTAGTCTTTCAAATAGTTTCTATAGTTTCCCAATTAATTTTTCCATTAATTAGTACATGTCCTGAAGGTTAGGAGCCTGAATGCTATGTGTCATTTGCAGTCAGATGCTAACCTAGAGAACCTACCTACCTGTGGCTCTGAGTCAGGAAGGGCTGATGACTAGGAAGAAGGAGTAACGAACTACTTCCAAATATTTAGTCACTGAAAACCTTATGAATAGCAGAGAAACATTCAGATTTAGTGCTGGAAAATGAGCTCCTCAGATTGGAAGGCACTCAAAATGCGACTGGGGAAGAGCTGCCTCCTCAAAGTAGAGTTAACCATGGTAATATGAATGGAGGAAAGTCCGTGGGAATAAAGCCCTCAGGACCTTCATTTGCTGATGGGCACAACTCAAAATGAAGAGAAACTGCTGGAAACATCCATTAATTAATCAGAACATGGAATGTACAAAATACGAATCTAGGAAAATTGGATAATTTCAAAAATGAAATGGAACACATAAACACATTGATGTCTAAGGCATTAGTGAGCTGAAATGGACTGGTATTGGCCATTTTGAATCTGACAACCACATGGTTTACTATGCAGGGAATGACAAATTGAAAAGGAATGGTGTTGCATTCATTGTCAAAAGGACATTTCCAGATTAGTCATGAGGTACAATGCTGTCTGTGATAGGATAATATCCATGTGCTTACAGGGAAGCCCAGGTAATACCACTATGATTCAAATTTATGCACCAACCACTAAAGCCAGTGAGGATAAAATAGAAGAATTCTACCAACTTCTTCAATCTGAAATCGATCAAACATGCAATCAAGATGTATTGATCATTACTGGTGATTGGAATGCAAAGGTTGGAAACAGAAAAAGGATTGTTGTTATATGCTGTGGAGTCGATTCCGACTCATAGCGACCCTGTACAGGGTTTCCGAGGCTGTAAATCTTTACGGGAGCAGAAAGTCTCATCTTTCTCCCGTGGAACAGCTGGCTGTTTCGAACTGCTGACCCTGAGGTTTGCAGCCCAATTTGTAACCACAGTGCCACCAGAGCTCCTTTAGAAAAAGGATGAGTAGTTGGAAAATACAGCCTTGGTGATAAAAATGATGCTGGAGATTGCATGATGGAATTCTGCAAAACCAATGATTTGTTCATTTCAAATACCTTTTTTAGACAGCATAAGAGATGATTATGCATATGGACCTCACCAAATAGGATTCACAGAAATCAAATTGACTACATCAGTAGAAAGAGATGATGGAAAAGCTCCATATCATCAGCCAAAACAAGACCAGGGACAGATTGTGGCACAGACCATCAATTGTTCATATGCAAATGCAGACTGAAGCTGAAGAAAATGAAAGCAAGTCCACAAGAGCCAAAATACAACCTTGAATATATCCCACCTGAATTTAAAGATCATCTGAAGAGCAGATTTGATACATTTAACACTAAAGACCGAAGACCAGAAGAGTTGTGGGATGACATCAAGAACATTATACATGAAGAAAGCAAAAAGTCATTAAAAAGAAAAAAAAGAAGGAAAAGATCAAAATGAATGTCACAAGAGACACTGAAACTTGCTATCCAGCGTAGAGATGCTAAAGCAAAAAGAGGAAATGAGGTACGAGAGTTGAACAGAAAATTTCAAAGGTCAGCTTGAAAAAACAAAGTCAAATATTACAACGAAATGTGCAAAGATCTGGAGCCAGAAAACCAAAATGGAAGAACATGCTCAGCATTTCTCAAGCTGGGGAAACTGAAGAGAAAATTTAAGCCTCAAGTTTCATTATTGAAGGATGCAAAAAGCATCAAAAGCAGATAGAAGGAATACACAGAGTTACTGTACCAAAAGGAAATGGTTGATGTTCAACCATTTCAATAGGTAGTATATGATCAAGAGCCAATGATACTGAAGGAAGAAGTCCAAGGTGCATTGAAGGATTTGGTAAAGAACAAGGCACCAGAAAGTGATGGAATAAACATTGAAATCTTTCAAGAAAGTGAGGCAACAGTGGAGGCACTCATTCATCTATGCCAAGAAATTTGGAAGACAGCTATCTGGCCAACTGATTGAAAGAGATCCATATTTGTGCCCATTCCAAAGAGTGGTAACCCTGTGGAATGCGGAAATCATTGGACAATCTCTTTGATATTCCATGCGAGTGAAGTTTTACTAAAGGTAATGCAGAAACGGTTGCAAGCATACATTGACAGAACTTCAAGCCAGATTCAGAAGAGGCCGTGGAACCAGGGATATCATTGCTGATGTCCAATGGATCTTGGCTGAAAGCAGAGAATATCAGAAAGATGTTTACCTGTGATTTATTGACTAAGCAAAGACTTTCGATTGTGTGGATCATGACAAGCTGTGGACAACATTGCGAAGAGTGAGTATTCCGAAGCATTTAATTGTGCTCATGAGGAATCTGTATGTGGACCAAGAGGCAGTTGTTGTAACAGAACATGGGAACATTGAATGGTTTAAAATTAAGAAAGGTGTGCAGCAGGGTTGTATTCTTTCACCATACTTATTCAACCTGTATGCTGAGCAAATAATCCGAGAAGCTGGGTTATATGAAGAAAAATGTGGCATCAGAATTGGAGGAAGGCTCATTAACAATCTGCGATCTGCAGATTATAAAACCTTGCTTGCTGAAAGTGAAGAGGACTTAAAATACTTACTGATGAAGATCAAATAGCACAGCCTTAAGTATGGATTGCAGCTCATTTTGCTAACTGTAGATAGATGCCCTTATCCCAAAGGAATTATGGAACAAAACTTTGTGATCACAACTTACTTTAATTTCAACTTACTTTTGGATCCTGTTTGCGAAGATAATTAAATTCACTAAATTACGTTTTCCAGAGCAGTGTTTTTGTTAATACTGGGGAAAACCTAGAGTGCGTTCTGTGATGTATCCTTTCCCTTTGCTTATTCTTAGCATATAAAATGATTGGCGTTTCAAAGCGTATGTTGATTGTTGGTACTAGAATATGTAGGTAAGAAACACATTTTCTGGTGCTAGTAAAACCTTTGATGCAATCAAATTGTAACATGTTTTCCATTGTGTATTAGATTTGTCAAATTCTTGTTATGTTTTAGGAGTAACCATCTGGAAGTTTTAACATTAGTATTAAAATTTTTCTCAAACTACTTTCATAAGAATTGCGCTATGAAAGAAGCCAGGCACAATATTGTATGATTCCATTTATATGAAACACATGGTATAGGCCAATCAAAGAATGCAGAGCAGTTGCATAATGGGTATTGGGATTTCCTATTGAACTTCTAAAACTTTATCGTAGTGATTTTGCACAACATTGTGAATATGTTAATGCCACTAAGTGTACATTCTAAAATGAATAGAATGATAAATTTTACGTTACGTGTATTTGCCACAATAAAACTGTATTGCTATGTTGTTGTTGTTAAGTGCCATTGAGTCGGTTTCGACCCATAGCGACCCTGAATAGGGTTTCCAAGGCTGTAAATCTTTACAGGAGCAGATCGCCTCATCTTTCTCCCGCGGAGCAGCTGGTAGTTTCGAACTGCTGACCTTCCGGTTCGCATGATCATTTATTTTATATTGATGCTATATCATGGTTTCTGATCTCTCAAGTAGCAATTTGTAAAAGCAGTCTTTTATGGTATTTTTTAATATAGGTAAAATGATCCATTCTATGGTAGCTCATTTGGATGCTGTTACAAGTCTAGCAGTCGATCCTAATGGAATCTATTTGATGTCTGGAAGTAAGTGTAAACTTTCTGTGTTGCCTATAAATTTTATAAAAGAATTGATAAGCTATACCAAACTTCATTTGTGATATTCTTTTTACAGGTCATGACTGTTCCATTAGATTGTGGAATTTAGACAGCAAGACGTGTGTGCAAGAAATAACAGCTCATAGGAAGAAATTGGATGAATCAATTTATGATGTTGCTTTCCATCCATCAAAAGCTTATATTGCCAGTGCAGGAGCTGATGCCCTTGCTAAAGTGTTTGTGTGATACAACAAGAACTGTGTCATAATGAAAACTTGCTTGGACAGAAAGAGGGTCTGCATCACTGCCATAAAGAAGGTTGCTGATAAGACACTACATGAGATCTGCCTGGGTGAAAACTTTGGGGCAGGCATAAATTGGTGGGAATCACATCTTAAATAATGTCAGGCTCATTAATTTAACTGTAATTACTGTATTTTGTGGGACAAAGAAAAAGAATTCCAGTATTTACAGCTTGTACTGGGATATTAACTGAGCATATGTCTGTTTTTTATGTGTCTTTAAACCAATGTGGAGTCTGGTCTTACAAAGAGACTTTTTATTTTGGACTCTGTGTGCTGCCTTAGGGTTAGGAATGTGGTGCTCTTGTGGGGGGAAGTGAGCTCCAAGAGTAGCTTTTTTTCATCTCTTAGTGATCTTCTGTTTATTGGTTGAATGCCACAGATTCCCTTTTAAATTTATTTTGCTTTAAAAAAAAAAAAAAAAAAGTAAAGAAAGAAAATTTAACTTAAAATATTTTAGCATTAGTTGCACAAAATGTTTGGATAAAATTCTAGTTTTTATAAGTCTTTTTATATATTTAGCCTGTCACAACAGTGCTCAAGATTGTATTGAAGTTTTTCTGCATTATACAACCCTGAAACACAGAGATCTCACTGACCCACTGCCGTGTAACCACACACTTTCCTTCTTTCGCCTAATACAGCTCAGCTAAGTCCTTCCATAAAGATGCTAAATCACCTTCATCATCACATAACTGTCTTCATAAACCAAGGACTATTAAGTGTATTAAAGTGAAACAGTGGGGTGTTTAGTACTCCAGATGAACTCTTAAAAAAAAGAAAAAAGCAAACTAATTTTGGCATCCTATCACTATGTGATATTTTGTACATCTTACTGTATTTACAAGTTTATTTATCAAGGAGTATCCATCTTGCTAATGGCCTATTATTATTTATTTCACTTTTTGTTGGTCTTTATATACTTTTATTAATGTGCTAAAGGGCCCAGTATATCTATTTTGGAACTTGGAGAAGTCTAAAATAGACTAAAAATGGAATATTTTATCATTTAAGTTGTAAACCAAGGTGGTTTGCACATCTTGATTTACCATGATTCCAAACAAAACTATCCTGGTTTAAAATATTTGGAGTAAAAATTTTATTTGCATTACAAATGTGAAACTAAAATAGTTGAATCAAGATACAGAAATCTGCTGTGTTTGGACTAGTTTTCCCAGGTTTTATTTTTTCAGATGTGCTTAATTTTATGGTGTAACTGAAGATTTTGTTTGTGTAATGCATGATTAAGACAATAAAGTATTTTTTCTAGTCTTCCAAAAAATTTTTTCTGATCAGTTTGCGAGTTTTGATGAGTTTTGTAAGGTTTTTGTTTTACAAACTATGAATCAGCAAATTTTTAAGATTGTACCACATAGCAAACGTCCAGCTGTTGAAAAATAATGTATATAAAATACATATAATAAATATTAAATTGTGTACATGTATGCTATTGTTGGCTATATTATTTTGTGTTAAATAATAAAGTGCAAATACTTTACTTGCCATTATTAGACTAGGAAATGAAGATGAATACTTAGTCCTTCATTTTTATGCTGTTCTTTTAAGCTTTGTACTTACCATAGAACTATTAAGATTAATAGAAGATTCGCACCATTAACACTAACATTAAGAATGCATTTCCAAATATTTAGGATTAAAATTTGTATATTCTATTGGAATAAGTTAGGTAATTCAAAGTACTCCTTCCCCTCAAAGTGCAGAGATGCATATTATTTGCTTAGATGTCCTGTTACCTTATTAAATCTGAATTTTAGTCCACAGTATTGTCTCTCCTATATAGCCATTCCGATTTGCACACATACACACACGAGTTCTCTTTTCATTGTTATACTTAAATACAGCATTAAATATGAACATCTTGAAACTTTTTCCTTTTGTTTTTGAAGGGAATTGCAAATGGAGTTAGTCAGTAGCATTAGAAAACAGTTGGCAAAATTCTATTTGTCATATACCATAAATTTTGTTATTGCTAATAAAACAGTAAATGTTTTCAGAAATTAAAAAGAAAAATAAATTGTTTTGATGTTTTCAGAACTAAAGATTCCTTTAGTAAGCAAATTAAAAGAGACACTTTTCTCTTTCTTTAAAATACTTTTCCAAAGTTAACATTGTTTCTGGCAGCTATACCAAACCCGTACATTACTATTAACCTTATTGTGATTATCATTTCAGCGCAGTAACATTCACCTCTTTTGGAATATACTAATAGTAAAATGGATGAAAATTAGTTGTTGTTTTTTTTGTTTTAATGTATATACTTTGGTTGTATTTTTCTCCACAATAATAACCCTATGGAAGAGATTTCATTTTGTGTCCTTTCATGATTTGGCATATTGGAAGTTATATAGATTAAATTGCCAATTACTTAAATACTGTTTTATGCATTGTTTAAGGTAGTTTTTTTTTTCTTTCTTTTTTTATAACGTTTTTATTGTGTATTAAGTGAAAGGTTACAGGGCAGATCATCAGTTTTACATTCAACAAATCATATATTTTGTAATCAGTTAACAGTATTTCTCTCTATTCGCTTTAACTCTTTTAATTTTTTTAAACACTCAGGCAGATATAATAATTTATACCACAAAAGAGCACATTCTGCAAGTCTGCCTCCTGGCCACCAGCTGTCAGTCCCTCTCTTTCCATGAATCTAGAGTCCTCAGCTGCTTTCTGTCTCCATCTCTGATGTTGCTGCTTCTCTGGATAAGGTCCTGCATTCTGCTTGTGTGCTTCTCCCATGATGGTCCTAGGGTCCTCTGTTTCTGGACTGTAAGATTAACTACTCACCCGATTTTGTTACAAAACTTTTTTTTTTACAATTGTGAGTCGTAATTAGTCATGATAACAGTTACTATAGAATCATAAAAATCTTATCCCCATCTCTTTTTCGCAGACCCATCTAGATAAGATGAAAACTATTCAGTGGGGCCCTGTCTTCCCCCACAACTCTCAAACTAAACTCCCTCTTGAAACCTTGTAAGCCAGTCACTTCTAGCCTTTTATCACCCACCAATATCTTAAGTTGCTTGTCCCTATCTACCCTGTATACAGAGGGGATAGATAGCATTGATACTTAATATGAAGACTCCTTACCTCTCTGTTGTTATTTTGAACTACTACCTCCCAGGAGTGTAGGTCATTTTGTTTTTTTTATCTGCCTCTAGTCAAGTTGTGATTATCAAGCCATCGAGGCTAGGTCAGATGAGGACTATCTGCAAGTTTGGGTGTTCTTGAAAGGTAGTCTTTTTATATTCAAACCATGATATGCTGACCTTTTGTTTAGCACTTCCTCTTTATGCTTTCCTCATATTGCAAAGTAAGTTTGAAAACTAACTGATTGAAGACTGACATCTCATTTATCACTTTAAAATTTATAAATGGGTAAAGAGTGTTTGAAATTTAGGATTGCTTGTTTAAAGTTAGATTGAAATTATTGGTTTATTGGTTATGTGCCATGGAGTCAGTTCTGACTTGTAGCGACACTGTATATGGTTTCTGAAGCTGTAAATATTTACAGGAGCAGAAATCGATCTTTTAAAAAATCTGTGTTACCCTGTTTAGTTATTAATCCTTAATTATGTTATGTACGTGATACAAATAGATAGTAAATTATTATCAAGTCCTGATTCTGTTCTCTTGCTGCATGTTAGTCACTCAAACTGCCTTGGTTACTTCAGTGTTGCCTTGATTGCCTCAATGCCTCAAAACTTTATCTTCTATAAAATTAAGGAAAAACTCATTTAAAGGGTCAATGACTAGAAGTTGTATTTTCATTAAAGCATAATTTAAAAAATATTTTGAACTTTTTATGAACTCATTGGAGATTTACATAGCAGATTATCAGTTTTACATTCAACAAATAATACTTCATTTCAGCTCAGTTGCCATCTCTTCATTGTAATGATCACTTTTCCCACTTCCTTCCTGTGTTTCTTGATTCCATTCCTTCTCCTTTCCCCACCCTTCTGGGGTTTTATTGTTGTTGTTTTAATATGAAATAGTTGAACATTCTAAGTTATGTGTACTTCCCTAGTGTTGCTCCTCCCCTACCCCATATACCTATCTATTGCTTGGCTAAAAATGGGGCTATAGGGGTGAGTTCAGTTCTAGACCTGAAGTGTGATCAATAGTCATAGTCTCAGGGTTCCACCAGTCTCAGCCTAACCAGTATGTTTAGTCTTCTTTGATTTTGAACTTTGTTTCACATCTGATCCCTGTCTATCTAGGACCTTCTAATGTGATCATTTTGAGAACCATTGATGATAATAGCAGGCACCATGTAGTTGCTTTAGTCTCAGAGCCATGGAGACTGATGATGTTCACATGATTCATTAGTCCATTTTTCCCAAGCATCTTCAATTTTCATACTCTTTTTCCTCTACACAGGAGAAACCTTAGATGGCTGCTGATGAACTTTCAAGGTCCAGTCGCTATTCACCAAAAGTTGGATAGAGAACATTGTGGAGTATGTTATTTCCTCAATATCTTAGTTCTCTAACACTGCTGTAACAGAAACACCACAAGTGGATGACTTTAACAATAACAACCAGAAATTTATTCTCTCTCAGTTTAGGAGGCTAGAAGTAAAAATTGAGAGTGCTGGCTCTTGGGGAAGATTTTTGATTGTTCTGCTCTGGGAAAAGGCCCTGGTCTCCTTTCAGCGTCTGTTGGCCCAGTGTCTTTGGAGATCTTCATACATCTTAGCATCAATCTTCCCCAGGATCGAGAAGCTTCACAGTGCAGAGACCCCGCATCCAGAGCACACACTCTATTCTTGGCTTTTCTGCCTTGGAGGTAAGTCCTCCCACTCTGTTCAAGCCCTTCTCCTTTTATCTCTTGCAAAATAAAAGGTGTTGCATGCCATACCCTTAGGAATCTCCCGTAAATTAAATCAGGGTACTGGTAACACTATAGAATCAGCACTGG